ACTTGGGCTAAGACTGGGCTTTTAAGGGCGGCATCATGGGACGCCAGAGGAGAACCGAAAGAGAAGCCAGAGAGAAGCAAGAGAAGCAGAAGCCGAGAGAAGGCCGGAGAGCCCAGAGTGAAGACTTGCCAGCCTCCCCGCCCCCCGCGCCCTGCCTGCTGTGTACCTGGTAATCCCAATAAAAACCTGCAAAACCACTGAGGACTCTGATTCCTCCTTTACCCGGTCTGCTGGATCAGAAAACCTGCACTGTGTCCTGTCCTGCCCCTACACTGGTTTACTAACTTGCCATGCTAGTGAATTAAAGGGCAAAATCATGACAGTCTTTCCACATGCAGAAAATATATATAATAAAATCCAACATGCATTTATGATCAAAAAAATACTCTTACAAACCAGGTTAAAGCAGATATTCAGTAGTCTAATAGTGAATATCTATAAAAAACAAAACAAAACAGTAAAAATGAAAGCAAATATACTTTCTGATTCAATAATGTAATTATCCTCTTAAAACTAGAAACAGGCAAGATTGTTATCACCTCTTGAAATTAGAAACAGGCAAAGTTGTTATCACTTCTATTTAGTAAATTGCTCAAGTTCATAGTAATGCACTAAAGCCAAAAAAAATGAAAGGCATAACATTCGGAAAAGCAAACTTCTATATGCAGATTATGTGATTATATATAAAGAAAATATAAAATGATTCACAAGTAAATCATGAAAATTAAAGAGTGCTCAACAAGGTTGTTATACATGAAATAAACATTAAAAAATCAGTTCCTTCCTCTATATTGTAAAGTGTTAGGAAATGAAATTTAAGAAATGCTTTTATAACAGCATCATAATATTATATACCTAAGAATAAATCAAACTAAATTTGTGCCAGACCTCTACTCAAAAAACTAAAAATATTAAGCTGAATTAAAGAAAACAAATTAAATTGTGTTATCAAATATGAAGGCATCAGAACAGTTTCATGCATTTATAAATTCTCTATTAATGATGCAATTAAAAAATCATGACTTTTTGTAGGGTAAGGGAGAAAGTATCAGGCTTTTCTTCCCTCCCGCCATTAGATAATGACGGAACCCTGTGGTCCTGAATGCATGCCTGATGGCGGGCACCTGAACAGGTGTGGGCATATGTAGATGGGATTCACCTGGGCTAAGACTGGGCTTTTAAAGGCAGAGTCATGGGACACTAAGAAGAAGCAGAGAAGCGGAGAAGCAGAACCAGAACCGAGAGAGAAGCAGAAAAAACATGAGAGAAGGCTGGAGAGCCTAGTTAGAGTGAAGACTTACTGGGGGCTGGGAGGCCTGCCAGCCTCTGCCCCCCTCCCCCCAGCACCCCTGCTGCCATGTGCCTGGTAAATCCAATAAAAGCCTAAAAAGCCACCGAGGGCTCCAGGACTCTCTCCTTACCCAGTCTGCTGAATCAGAAAACCGGCATTGTGTCCATTTCTGCCCCTACACTTTTTTCCTAATTTGACAAGGTGATTCTAAAGCTTATATGGAAATGCAAAAGCCTTAAGGTAACCGAGTCCTTCTAAGTATAAAATGAGAGGACTTATTTCCATATCCCAAATTTTTAAAAACTATAATAGTGTGTGTTGGATTTGAACAAGTAAATAGATTCATATAGATGACACAGACCAAAGAAACCAGAAATCATCTGCTGCATATGGAAGCAGTTGATATTATAAAATAAAGCTGCTCAGGCCTGGCTAGACTTTACCTTGTGTGTATAGTACCCTGAATGAGAGCTTCTGAGGACCAGGGGAAGCTATGTAGTGATATGCTACAGTTACTTCTGCTCAGTGTGGCCACCTTGCTTTCATTAAGTTTTAGTGCCTTTGTCTAGAAATAAGATTATTAATGTGATGACTGACCTCACCATTCCTGACTAGAACTTGAGACAAATCTGTAGATACTTAAGAAGAGAAGGTGGTACAGAAGTCCTGTTTAGACTTAGTAGCCCAGTGGAAAAAAAACTTGAATATCTGTGGGAAATTTATATGGGCAAGTTATATGTATCACTGATACATAAATAATATCATTTGAGCTATTATTTGAATTTGATTATTTGCTAAATTTGCCTACTAAACTCCTAATTTCAACTGGTGGGTCTTGAGGGTGGAAAGATAAATCCTCACCAGTGTCCAATTCTTGTTCTCAAGTACTGTGAGGATAAACCAGCAAAAGCTGTAAGGGTGATTAAAATCTTCAAAGGAAACTGAATTAGCAAAGAGCAAAAAGGCCATGGTCAAATGGTCATAAAAGTCTCCCTCCGACCCCTCCTGGGAAGTTGGATCATCAGGGACTCTCTCAAGGACCTGCTAAACTGGCAGTTGGTGGCTTTTCAATTGGAAATTAAATAAATGCATTAAGTGTGGGTTTAGGAAAATGAGAGCATGGAAATTCACTTTCCTTGACCAAACTGTATATGTGGAGAAGTTTAAGTTCTATTCCCTTAGCAGTGCAAACAACTGCACCCCTTTTCTGATAACCTCAGTAAAAGTCTTTGGATTCGGGCCTCCCTGGTGGTGCAGTGGGTTGAGTGCAGCACTCTGAAGCTGTCTGCAGCCTCTGCAGCATGGGTTCGATTCCCGGCAGCCAGGGAGATTCCCACATGGTGAGGCAGACCTCTCCTGTCTTGCCCGCTGCTCCCCTCAAAAGTGTATTTTGGTCGTCTGCCTGTTCTGCTCCCCACTCTGTCTCTGGTGAATCCTGTCATTCTCCCGCACCTCTGCCCTGTACCCCAGCTCTTGTATAAAATAAAATAATAATAAAAATTAAAAAAAAAGTCTTTGGATTCTCTGATTTTCTAGACCTGTATGAGTGGGACTATGATCAGTCCCACCTGAATTATGTAGACAAAAAAAAAAAATGTGCAATGGAATTTCCCAAAATGGTGGAATGCTGTTGAATATTTTCCCACTGCAAAAATAATTATTCACTAAATGAAGCTGCCATGAACATATTTACCACACTTTAATATCACTGGTCTTGAATAAACCCGCCCTGCTTTGAGGACACTCAGTCTGGGTCTCTGCCGCTGAAGACCACTTCTTTTTTGGTGTTCACACAGCCAGATGGTTAGAGGCACTAGAAACTGTGGTTTCCATTTTTTTTTCCCTGTGGAAATTTTCAAGATGTAAAACCAGTGCTATTTTTCAAGTTATTTTTATCGAAATGAATTATAAAAGATTTGGTCTATAAATTTTGGCTCATATTTTGAGCTACTTTTATCATCTCAAGTATTCTTAGTGAGCTATCTTAATTCCAGAAGTATACTTCTGAACTACTAAGTTATTCAGTAGCCATTAATTCAGGGTCTGCCAGTTATATTCTGTTTATGCACAGGGTTATATTACTTATCAAATAAATTAGTGTCTGTGTTCACAAGATCTTGGAGTAATGAATCTAATTTCCCCAATTTCAAATCTATTATATCTTCCTTGTCTGAGCTTAGGTTTTACCCCATGTGATAAATATAAATTTGTCAACAAAAGTTCCATCTTTATAACCAATCTATTAAGATACATTCCATGAGTATGTTCTGTTACAAATGACACCATTCATAGTAAACTGTAACAGGCCAACTGTAATTTTGGGTCATGCTTTGGTAAATAGAGCATGCATATCAGCTCTGCCCCCTAGGACAGGTTTCTTTAACTTACTAATTAGAGTTGTGAGTGTGATAAACGCCTTAAAACTAGTATTAGAAGCCCTAACCAAAATGGTGCCAAACCAAGTACTGTTCTTGAAATTAATTATAATAAAATAAAAATGTTTTTTTCTTCCTCTCATCCCTTTATTTCCCGGGGAAGATACAAAAGGTAACTTAATGAAAACAGCTACAAATGGCCAAAGATAAGTGTGTTAGGGTTGGGGCTTATAGAATTAAAAGCATAGGTTCTTGCTTGCTTAGCAGACAAGGATGGGAATTTTTTTTTTTATAGAGGCATGTTTTATTTATTTATTTGTTTGTTTGTTTTTTGTTTATACATGCACTGGGTACAGTCAGAAGTGCGGGAGGGTGAGAGAATTCACCAGAGCCAGAGTGGGGAGCAGAGCAGGCAGAAGGACCGAAGTACACTGCTGAGGAGAGCAGCAGGCGGCAGGAGAGGTCTGCGCGCCATGTGGGACCCTCCTCCGGTGGCCGGGGAGCAGCTGGGATCGAACCGGCGCCTCAGAGGCCGCGGGCAGCTTCGCAACCCAGTGCTCAACCGCTGCGCCACTGGGGAGGCCCAGGATGGGAAGTTTTAAACAGACCAGTGGTACTGATGAGTTACCATGGGAACTGGGTCCTGAGACAGCTCTGATGAGGGAACCAAATGATTGTTATTGAAACAAGGCCATAAAGTCCACTTGTGTCCATTAAATGCTGATATAAAATTTAAAGGCATTTGGGGAATAATTATGGCCTGACACTTTAGTAGACAGCAGCTAGCATAGTCCTTTATCTTAAATCTTATGGAGAGCCTGCAAACTGAGAATGTAAGAAAGAACCAAACTTGTCTTTCAGTGGCCAAATGAACACTTTCTCATCTCACCCCAGCTTTTCCAGAGCAATTCAATAAATCCATCCTTTTTTACTTTCTGTACTGTCTCTGGTAAATCTTTACATACACACACACACACACACACACACACACACACACGGTATCCCTTCACAGCTATGGATCTCCCTCACGTGACAGAATTTATATGAAATAGAATTTAATTCTCCTCTTTCACTCTTAGTGTCACCTACCTGGGCTCTCAATGGCAGCCAGAGCTATTAATTGCCTGCAGGGTAAGAAAGCCTAAAGACAATAAGAAGAATCCAAGTCACGTCATCTAAAACATAGAGTCGTGATCATAATTACAAACAGAAGTTAAGGACTACCTAAACCTGGCATTCTGAAAATAGGCACAGTCAGGCCTAGAAGTGGGTGTGTATGTGACAGCTTTGTAGTTAGTTCTGTTGGGCTACACTGACACAGATTTTTGTTTCAGGGACAAGAATTCCTTTGAGAACTCTGAGTGAGATCTTGAAATTGCATAATTGGCTCACCTGGGAAATCCACACCAAAGACAGAAGCATCAAAGAAGGATCTGGTTTTGACTTCTGGCTATTTGCATGCAATCTTTACCTCGCTTTGGCAAGCAGCAAAGGGTTCATCCCCTTTGCAAAATTGAGAAAATTTCCCAAGGAAACACAAAAGCTAAGGTCAGTGTAGATTCAGAAAGTCTCTAACTTCAAAATTTCCATGAACAGCTCCCTGAAGAAATGAGGGAGGCAGTACAGGGGTATGCTAGATTTTAACACGTGTAAAATGGACCACAAAAGACCTGACGCTCCTGAGCAAAATAACCCCAGTCCACACACATAGAGAATTCTTATTCCTGTGCATCGCGATGATCTCAGACTGCAGAAATCAGGAGGGGAAACTCATAAATTCAGCCTTCACCAGTGGTTGTTATAGGCAAACCACTTTCTACTGGTAAAACAGAAGAGAGAATTTAATAAATAAAAACAGGCACTCACTAATGCATTTTTTATCCACCTTCCTTTTACACTTGTAAAATACAGCAAATTCAGGCAAAGGTGGTTTGGGGATTTCTTGGAATAATTCATAACCATGTTGATTTGTTGTTATAGCATTACACTTAAAGACACACAGTATCAAGATTGCCTTTTCAAATTGTATCCCAAGTATTCTTTATTCTTCTTTTATGTGACTTGCCTTTTCAGCTCTTTCCTCCAAATAAAGCCACTTTAACTTGTCTCTGATACCTATAAAAACACAGGATCTCCTTCAGGTAGTAACATACTTACCTTAGTCATTTAATATGTGAAGTTTAGTATCCTATCAGCTAGGCACAAAATAATCCCAACCAAGTTCACCAATTTATAGACTGCAAACTAAATTTGCCTGACAGATACTTTATTTGACTGACCAACTGATTCTGTTTTGTCTGGGTTTGCTTCATAACTGAATTTTTTTAAAGATTTATTTATTTATACAGGCACTGGGCACAGTCAGAAGCGCAGGAGGGTGAGAGAATTCTCCAGAGCCAGAGCAGGGAACAGAACAGGCAGACAGACGAAATACACTGCTGAGGGGAGCAGCGGGCACGGCAGGAGAGGTGTGCTGCGCCATGTGGGACCCTTGCCGGCGGCCTGGGATCGAACTGGTGCTGCAGAGGCTGCGGGCAGCTTTGCAGACCAGCGCTCAACTGCTGCACCACCAGGGGAGGCCCTATTGGCAGATTATTCTTTCTCAAATTCCATTGACCCACCCATCCCTATTGCCATGAACCTCATAGATATTTGGTTTAGGCTGTCTGCCTTATAGTGTAAATAGTGATAGCAGCATTCATGTTTCTTCCCATTCTCATGATAAAAGTTTAAACATTTCATTTTTAAATTTGATTCTTATATTTGTATTTATATATTTGTATTTCTTTGAGACACTCATTATCAGAGAAAGAAGACTTTCCATTCCTAGGGTACTGGAAGCCATTAGCATGAGTGGATGTTGACATTTACCAAATGCTTTTCCTGCTTTATTAATTTTCTCCCTTTTCCTGCTAATTGCTAAATGACATTTGTCTGATTATCAAATGTTAACCAATATTGTGTTCTCAGAATAAGCCCTTCACAGTCCCCTTTTTAATATAGAGCTGGTTATCTTTGCAATTATTATGTTTAGAATTTTTACTTACTTCAGAGAATTTGATTTTTAGTTGTTCTCTTTTGGAAAGGAAATATCCTTATTGGGTTGTGAAGTCAAGGAGATAAATCTTCATCTCATTCAGAAGTTGACATAGGTTTCTTACCCTCTATTCTCTAGCAGAACTTGAGCAGTTTATGTTACTTCATATCATGGGAAAGGTTTTAATTTCAAATTCAATTTCTTTAATAGATATTTGTATCTCCTTTGTCTTCATGTGATACTTTGATAATTTCAGTTTTTCTAGAAATTTTGCCTTTTACAAATAAAATTTCATGTTAATCGGTGTAGGGATCTAAATATATCTCTTATTATCTTCTAAATGCCTACATGATTTCTAACTTTGTCTCCTTTTTCATTTCTGATATTGGAAATTTTAGCCTTTGTTATTTATTTTCATTAGTCCCTGCTCAGAGTTTATCAATTTTATTAATCTTTTCTCTGAATTAAGTTTTGGCTTTGTTTATTTCCCTATTTCATGTTTTCTTTGAATTTAATTGCTTATAATTTTAATTACATATAGAATTATGTGATCACTACAGATTGATGATCCAAGTGTGCTGTGTAGGTGGCTCAAAAATGAGCAAGATTGTATCTGTGGCTTTCTGACATGCTGAACAGATTGTGGGATCATTTCAACCAAACACAATCTACTCCCACTTTGCAGTTGTTACTGGAAGACTGAATGTATATTTAAGCTGTACAAAGATATTTGTGTTATATATAAAGGAAATTAGGATCAAGGCATATTTTTCCCGTCTATGTGAATATTCAGAAAGACAATTTGGAGTCGTGCAGGATGTGGGGCAGTTACTTGACTGCAGTACACCTTGGCACCCTGACTCATCTCAATGAGTGTCTACAACATTTTCCAACCACTAGGAATAAAGGGGAAAACAAGCCTCCTAAAATTTCCAAAATACCCCTGGGTGGCTCTACCATTTACACTGAGGTAAAACCATTGGTATGGGGCACAAGTCCTATGGCACATTACCCTCACTTTTTTTTATTGTCGCAGCTGGATTTTGGTTGAATTCCTCCACCTCTGTCAATATAGATTGACTACCAGGCTCTGCTTTGCTTCACCTGCTCATACTTGTGACCCTCCAGGGATTGTTCTAATAGAAGCTTCCACTAGACTGTATTTAATTCATTCCTACTTTGTAATAGTGCTCACTCACCATCTTTATGACAATGCAAGTGTAAGACCTGTTCCCATTGTATGTGGCAGTCTTGACTTTGGCCCTCTAAAGTTCTTGTGGGCATGTTTCTCTTAGCAACATGCTTTTTCACTTCGTCTTTCCTAGACTGACTTCCAGTACAGGCTGAGCCCTTCATTCTAGCAGGTAGTCACCTCAGCAAAAACTTCCTCTCTGGAGGCCCAGGGGATTTTCCATATCCAAAATTGGCATTAAGGATGAGTGGAAGCATAGCAGGTCCTAACTGGATTTGTTACTGCAGTTCACTACATATTTCGGGTTATTTGTCCATTTAAAATTCTTTACTGATACATTAATTGTCTACTTCTGCTTCTTTCAGCCTCTAACTGCCTCCTTTCTTGGGTCAATGTAGTATTATGTCCATTACAAAACTGGTATTTAATATGCTTGTAGCAAAATCTGGGATGATGTTAACTCAAGCAAATTACATATTCCATAGCTACCAGGGATTTCCTCCACTACTGGATTCAACATATACTCTATTCTGGGCCCTTCAGCTCAGAGGCCTGTGTCAGTGCATAGATTGGCCAAGCACACCTACCCATATTACAAATAATCTTTTCTGACTCATTGATGTGAGTTGCTGCTAGAAATCTACTTATGTACTGACTTGATGAACTTCCTTCTCCTGATGAAACTCCTACTCGCTGTGCCTCTGTAGACTGGAGATTCCCATAGCCAAACAAACCATCTGCCCAACTGCACACCAGTGCACTGTCAAGCAGATCGAAAAGGAGCCTGATCTTAGCAGCAGTATTGTCTTTTGTTTATTTTGTTAGTTATGCTTGCCTCTTCTTGCTATAACCCATAATAATTCTAAGAGGGACATACAGAACCAATTTTAACATAGCTAACAAATGGTCAACACAGAAAGTTGGCAAACTTTTCTTGAGCATAGCTGTGGTATAACCAGACAGGGCAGACCTGGGAAAAGTATCTTTCTATAAAGAATACTGTTTATCTAGGCAGCTGTTCTGATAACAGATCTCAATTGCACTAACATTGGCATCAACCATGTTCATATAGGTTCTGATCTTGCTGTATCTAATATTTTTATATACCCTGGGATTTAGGTTTTACTTTATGCTCACACTTGCCAGGGTTATTTTCTATCAAATGCAGACAAACCAAGCCATGAGCAAAGATGTATGTGTGAGCAGTCTGTTGGGAAGATGGTCTATTTCTAATTTTAGCCGCAAGCTGACTCCTCTGTATATGGAATGCTCCTAAATTAGGTTTCTCAAGGTAGGCAATGCCAACAATGCATTGTAAATTGTGAATACACAGAAAATGGCCCTGGGGGATACCAGTGTGTATAAGCTTTAGAGACACTGACTAAATCTTCACTTTGTAAATATTTTCTTTATCATTAGTCACTAAAAATTACAGAGTTTCAGTCACCAAAATTGTATGCATAATTATTGAAACCAGAAATGCAACCTGATTCTGAATTTGAAACAGGACATTTTATTCTGGTTTCCTCCATGAGAAATGGTGATGTAGAAATATAACATTAGACTCTTATGAAGAAGGATCAAAGATGTACGAAGCACCCATTACAATGTTTGTGAATCAAATCTCATATATATAAAATTTAAAATGGCTAAAGCATACTATGGCATTGTGTTTGTAGAGAACTAAATGTCTGACTCTAAAACTTTTCGTTGCTCAAAAGCTTTCTAAAATATCTGGTCAAATAGATTCATTCTCTCACAGAGATAGTTCCAGATGCACCAGTGAGGTCACAGTTCAGACCACACCGATCTCCTTGTATACAATGACCTGGCTGGGTCACCAGTGGCCATACCATTGATTTGGCAATAAATCCTTTTCTCATTAGAGAGAGAGAAAACCTGATAAGGAGCGATTCTGGATGAAAATTTGTCTATTGCCATTCAACTTCTGTAGCCTTTCCCATTAATATTAATGTGTTGCCAACACAGAGAAGTCTGCCATGAAAAGTGAATAAAGTACTCCTTTTAAGAAGTAAAAACTGGGTGGTTAGGAAGAAGAATTTTAAAAGCTGAAATTTCACTTCTGGGAATTTACATAGGTATTTCCTTAGAATAAGACACATAATTAAGATACATATTTATAAGAAGAAAAGACAACAAAAATGCGCAACAGAAAACTGGTGTGGTACCTGAGTCCTTCAGATAACAGAATACTCTATTATCACAGCTCTTAATGTAGATCTGTACTAAATATCATTGAAAAATACTCACAAAAGAGTATCAGGTGAAACATAGCCAGTTGGTCATATTCTTTTATTAACATATGTTTATTCAGATATTCATATGAAATCTGAATAGAGATATATCAGTACATAATATGGTGACTTCTCTGAATAGTGAAGGTTTTAGGCAAAATTTTTACTGCTGTACTACTTCTAATTTTTCTGTACTGGAATTGAATTGATTATATGACAAATGACAAATATGCTGACTATATAAAAAAGTATATTTCCCAGTGTCTAATAGCTAATCAATGAAATGCCTTTAGGATTAAAAGTATTTCCATATGTTGTAGAGTGGCTTCATAATAGTTGCTGGAAACTTCTATCCTACATTAAATGTCAGATGAATTAGTGGAAAACCCTTGTTGGCTCATTTTATCATGCAGTTAAAATGTTTTCCTAGATTATACTTGGTAGTGGTATTTATATAGAACAAAGATGTCTATACTCAAAGATACCTTTACTCAAAGACAAGTGGCAGAAATTGGTGCTCTTAAGAGAGCAAATGTGAAAATGATAATTCTTCATATATTCAATGCATACTATGGGTTAGGGGCTTTTGGTATTGTTTAAGCCTTACTACAATCCTGTTCTACAGATGAGGGAAGCAAATACACACTACACGACTCAACAAGCTGAGAAATAACAGTCAAGTTTTAGACACTTTTTATTTGATTTCAAAGTCCTACTTTCCATGAAATTATAATACCTCTATAATTCTACCATGCCCCTAATATAATTCTTATGCTTTTCTTAATGCCACCACATAATGAATATTGTAGGTATTTGTTAACTGATATTCATATTAAGTGTTTATAATTATATTCATCTAAATATCTAATGGAAATTTTTGCACCATAGAAAAATCCTAAGTTTTTTGTTAATGTATTGATAAATCCTACCCTTTCCTGAAAGGTATCCCAATA